AGCGTGACAGAGGCGAGCTACTCGGTTTCACATCATTTACCGTGAGGTTTGAGAACGTCTTTGCGTACCTGCGTGCTGCGCTGGAGTGGACACACTGGAACTGGTGCTGTCGAAGAATGAGGGGTCCTGTGCTGCCAGGCTTACAAGCAGCACAGCCAGAATACTCCTTAGCAGCATGGATGGTGACATTTCGCCTATGTACCCTGGACATGTGACCGGAGGGGCCAGTCCCTGGAGGAGGCCACGAGGCTTGTGAAAGAGAAGGGTCAGTGAAAGAGAGGAAGACCCTCACAAGCAGACCCACTCCGTGGCTGCAAGAGGGCCAGGCTGCGCTTTGCTGTTTGCTGGGTGAGAATTGACTGGACAGCACCTAACAGAGATACGCCTACTCCACGCCCCTGCTCCAGGGCCAGGCCACAGCAGGTCCGGTCTGACGCCATCACGCCCACTGTGTGTGCCAGGTGCCCAGTCCGCAGCAGGTCCGGTCTGACTCCATCACGCCCACTGTGTGCCAGGTGCCCAGTCCGCAGCAGGTCCGGTCTGACTCCATCACGCCCACTGTGTGTGCCAGGTGCCCAGTTATTCTCACTCCACTCAGTCGGTACAAGGCCATGGAGACTCTGGGCATCTGACAGAAGTAGCACCAACCACCAAAATCCACAGAGAGCCTCCCATGTGCTGGGCTGTAAGCTTAAGTGGTTCAGTCTCCCCAGTCCAGGAGGTGCCGAGGCAGTGGGGGGGTGTGACCAGCCCCAACTTCTAGAGAGCCATGGGATGCAGACGAGGGGCATCTGGAGTGAAGCCTGGGTATAGGTGGGAGCACAGGAGTGGCCTGCAGGGTGGGGTGGGGGCTTCCTGGTTCATAATGAGGAGGGGCTGTATGAGGCGAGGCCTGAGCACATCTACCCTGAAGGGTCTGCAGCAGACCCGTGTTCAGCGAAGACCCCTGAGGCAGCACGGTCAAGCAGCTCAGAGAGGACCCGGGGACTGAGGTGGGAGGCGGCAGGGAGTGCGAGAATGATGGATGGCCAAGTCGTGTTCAGGAGGCAGGGCTTGGCGGTTAAGTCGATGTTGGGGGCAGGGGATGAGTGCTCTCATTTTACGAACACATCTTTAAGATGCAACATCTCAGAAAACGGGTGGGCAGGAAAGCTGGAGCGCTGGTCTGGGATGAAACTCAGCCTTGTGCGGTGTGCCCTGCTCTCCAAGCTCCTGGGCAACACGAGTCCATGCTGCCCTGTCCCCTCTTCTCCCCTTGCCCACCCCCGTGCCAGGCACAGAGCTTCCTAGGCTCCCACTGCCATCTTGGCACCCTGCAACTGTGGGTTACGCCCATGCTCATGTTCCAAGAACCAGCTTGGATGCTACCGGCTAAAGCCTTCCCTAAGACATCCCGCCCACCCCACCCAACTGCGTGCCCTCTCCTCAGAGCCCTAGTGGGTTGTGTGCCCATCTCAGTCCTGCTCTTCCACAGGGCCCCTCCTGTCTGCTTTCTCCACCAAGAGGCTGCCTCATCCCCATCACCCTCAGGGCCTACTCTAACAGCGGGGACACATATTATAAATAATAAAACTATATCGTAACGTATATTATATAAATACTATGTAACTAGTATAACAGGGGGGGCAGGGAAGGGCTGAGGAGGTCAGTTTCACGTTGCTGGAATGTTCAGTGAGCCCAGAAGTGATGCTACCTACCTCCAGGGAGTGCTCTGTGCTCGCCATAATGCCAGAGACTCAACCAGTTTGCAGGCCAGGGCATGCGCTATGCGGTGCCATCCACTGCCTTACAGTGGGCAGCAGCCCAAAGTACCAGTAGCCACTGGGAATGTAGAATGGCCAGTTACCCACCAGGGGGCCACTGGGGTGAAGCCAGCAGCTGCCAGCAGCCCAGAGCCTGCTGGGGGCCCGAGAGCTGGGCCTGCCCTGTCTTAGGTGGTCAATCTTCCTTGACTTCCCCCAGCCTTCTTCTCAGTAGTCCTCCACCTATCAGCTCAAGTTGGTCTCTGTACAAGGCATCCAGGGACCAGCACGGCCCATGTGCTCCACTGGGTCCTCACACAGACCGGTCCTGTCTTTGTAGCACTCAGCTTGCACCTGGGGGTCTCTCGGTGTCTTCACGTGCACGATGCCCATCTACCTTCTCTGACCTTCTTGCCTGGCTTATCTGGCTCACCTCCTGGGGAGGGCAAGGTCAAAACACTTCCGGGTAGTCCATAATGCCCCCACACCACTGCTAGGAGCTGCTGATGGATGGAAACACCCAAACAAACGGCAAACTGGCCAAGAGTGAGACGGTGGCCACTGGCCAGGCTGGAGGGAAAGCCCCTGGAAGAGCCCTGGTCCAGGCTCTGGGTCTGGAGCTAGACCAGAGGCTCTGAGTGCCGCAGAGGCTGCTGCCCTCTCAGTCAGCATGTGACTGGCATGACCACCCTGCCTGGGGCCTAGCCCGGGAGCTGCTGCATGGCTAGAAGGAGGGACTCACTTCCATATTCCTGTCCCATGGGCCTCACAAGTAACTGACTTTTTTTTTAACCTACAGTGCTACTCAACCCAACCCAACCCAACCCACAGTCATCAAGTTGATGCCGACTCATAGCGACCCTACAGGACCAGGTAGAACTGCTTCATGGGCTTCCTTGACTGTAATTCTTTATGAGACTAGAAAGCCTCATTGTTCCCTCACAGAATGGTGGCTGGTTTCGAATTATTAACCTCGAGGTGGGTAGCCCAATGCGTAACCACTACGAGACCAGGGCTCCACAATGTGCTACAGGGGGCGCTTTTGTTCCAAATGAAAGAATAGGAGTCCAGTATAAAGCCATTTTGGGGATTCTAAATGACGATGGTCATTTTTCCTTCCCCTGGTCTTTCCTGAAATGCAGTCAGAGAACTGCTGTCGAAGGGGAGAACTGGGAGCTTAGAAGGTGCTAGGGGACCAGGGAGGCAGATAGTTCCTTCTATTGCTGACTTCAGGTCAGAGCAGTCAGCACTGACTGGAGTCGCAAAAATGCTGACCACAGCAGCCAAGGGGGAGTGACGTGGGACTTACCTCATCTCATCCCTTCTTCTTGGGAGGGGATTCTGGTGCCAGTTCAGAGCTCTGTCACTACGTCCCTCCCACGTTACTCTCTACTATGCTCCTCACGCCACCTCCCTGTTTCCCCAGAGCTGTGAGCAGCAGCAGATCAAGGACGATCAGCTGGGAGGCGGAGGCTGGTGCCCACTCCCCAGCCGTGGTCTGTGAGTCAGGCTTAGTCCCCCACCGCCCAGGGCTGGGGGTGGGGGTGGTGCTGCTACCAAGGCCACGTGATCTGTACTTTGCTGCAATTTTCCTGAATTTTACAACTCTGCAGGCAACAATCAAAGCACACCGAAATCTTACTTAGGGCCCTCACTAGCAAAATGCTCTGGGCTAGCGGGGGAAATGCCAACAGGCGGGCAAGGGTAGGACAGAGCCATTCTGTCAGCTTGGTCCCAGGAAAGCGCGGGGAGGCCTGCTGACTGGGGTTCTGACACAGGGTGAGGGTGGTTCTCCAATGGTCCCAGTGCCTCCCCCAGAAGATTCTGACGCACGGCATCTGGCCCATGCCTCAGAAAAGACCCCAGCACGGTGGCTCGGGGCTGCCCACGGCTGATCTTCGGGAAGCAGAGTGCCAGGCTTTGCTTCCAAGGCACCTCTGGGTGACTGGAACCTCCACCCTTAGCTGCCACACACTCACCGCTCTTTTCATCCCTTCAGGGGCCCCTACGTTGCGTAAACACCAACGTGAGGCCAGACACAAGCACACGGCCCGTTCCCAGGTGCCATCCAGCCCTGTCTCATGATGTGCAGCCCGGTGCCCTCAGAGAGACCGAGAGCCTGTCTGACGAGCGCAGCCACAGAGAGCCTGTGGGGTCAGACTGACGAGCACAGCCACAGCGGAGAGCATGCCCGGCCTCATCGTGGGGGCCACTGTGCCCGCCTCCTACCTGGGGAGGCTCCGGTGCAGTGAGGCCGTGACAGGGGAGACCTCGGCTCTGGGCCAAGTGAGTCCCCTTGTGTTGGGGACACATATGGCACCCCTCCATGCCAAGTGGCCATGTGATGTGGGGTCCAGGTGCAGAGACAAGCTGGCTGGGCTGCAGTTTCTGTGGCTCTGCCACCCTGGGGCCAGCCCACTCTGGAGAAGCCACCGGAGCTTCCCGGCCTCTGACTTGAGCTCAGGCCGCTTCTCCCACGTGGGTGTCTCCTTCCTGCTCCTCTCCACTGACCCAGGACCCTCCACAGCCTTAAGTCCCCTCCTCCGACCTCCTGCCCCCACTGCCCTAAGACCTCTCTCACCGGGCTGCTTCCATGAGCGCCCTGTGTCAGACAGCTTCATGTCATGTTTTATGAGAATGAGCTCATGCTGTGTTGACGGGGCTAAACACTGCTACTCGCCGGACGGAAGCATTATCATCACTCTTTCACCTGGTGCGCCCCAGGCGGGCATCAGGCGCCCCATGGCAGCCGTGGCAACCCGGCTGTGCCACAGCAGGGCTGCTCCCCAGGAGAGGGAGAAGCCAAAGGGGGTCACTTCCGGTGCGGCTCTCCCAGCCTGTCTGCGTGGGTTCCAGCACCCACACCAGCCCTCACTGCAGTGGAGTCGAAGCCGACGGCTCACAGCGACCCCAGAGGACAGGGTAGAACTGGCCCCGTGGGTCTGAGACTACACGTCCTTCCACCAAGAGCAGAAACCCTCATCTTCCTCCCTTGGAGAGCGGCTGGTGGCTCTGCTGACCTTGCTCACGGCACGCATCTTCAGGTGGAACCTGAAGGGCTCCCCATCAGGGCTCCCTCCGCACCCTCCACAGCAAGTGTTTCGTGATTTCGTCAGCACAGGCCAGTGGGATGGGAGGCCAGGCTCCTGACTGGAACCCCAGCGCTGGATCCCTCCCCACCTCCAGCAAGTCCCTGGGACAGGAAATCCCAAGCCACCTTCTCAGTGAGCCGTCAGCCAGCTCCCACTGGGGACTTACAAATGCGGATGGGAGGAAGAGGACCCCGAGCTCGTAGGAGCGGATCATCAGCTGGGAGCCGTTCTTTTCCAGCGCGCCCCAGGCCGCCTTAGACAGGTTGGCACTGCGGAGACAAGGACACATGACATCGGTCAGAAAGGACAGCAGCGCCCACTGTCTCCTCCCAGGCGCTAGCGGGGCTGTGGCTTTGGGGACGCCAAAAAGACCAAACTCACTGCCATCGAGTCACAGCGACCTTATAGGACAGAGTAGAACTTCCCTGTGGGTTTCTGAGGCTGTAACTCTTTACAGGAGTAGAGTCTCATCTCTCTCCCTGGGAGCAGCTGGTGGTTTTGAACTTCTGAGCTCATGGCTGGCAGCCCACAGCCCAACCCACTAGGCCATTGATGGGAATCTTGCTGAGCCAGAATCCCGGGACTCCAGGATTGAATTGCTTATGGAGATAGCTTCATCCGGCCTGGTTTCCCTCTAGGGGAAGCTTTGAAACAAGAGAGCCTCCTTTCAGAGCTTTGTTGTGTTTTTGGTTCCTCTGCCCCGAACCACTTTGTTTTTCACGTCTGTCCTAGAGCCAGGTTCTCGGGGCTTCTCTGTATATAAAGGTAGCACCGAGGAGGAAAAAAATGTCAAAATGTTAATGAAATCTCCACATGTTATCATCTTAAATATACTTTCTTTTCTCTTTTGGGATGGGGGTGGGGAGAGGCAGGTAGCAGGCAAGTACTAAGACATTCACTGCCACCGAGCCAACTGACTCCTAGGGCCCCTCTAGGACCGAGTAGAACTGCCCCTGTGGGTTTCTAAGAGTGTAACCCTTCACGGGAATAGACAGCCTCATCTTTCTCCCTGGGAGCAGCTGGTGGGTTCAAACTGCTGACCTTGCGGTTCACAGCCCTATGTGTAACCACTGGGATACCAGGATGCCTGTCCAAGTACTAATTGGAGGCTTCGAAGAACCCAAGGAAAAATGGGATAAAAAGAATTTTAAAAATCCACAAACTCTGTAAAGGCCCCTTGTACTTTCTACTCTCAATCTGGAGAAAACAGCTCTGAGGGCCCCAGGCTGGCATTTGAGTTGTCATCAGGGGATCCCAATGACAGCAACCCTCCGTGACAGAGTGGAACTGCCTGCCCCGCGGGGTTTCCAAGGCGGTGGTCTTTCTGGAAGCAGACTGCCCCTTCATTCTACTGCGGGCAGCTGGTGGGCCGCCGGGACCACCGCCCTTGCCGTGAGCAGAGGGCAGGCAACTGTGCCCCAGGACTCCCTAAGCGTGATGCGAGGTCTGTAAGGTGCTTTCATTGCTCATGCTGATGGCGCCTGTCAAATTCTCCTCTACCGTACGTGACCATCAGCGCTGTGCGAGTGTTCTTTGTCCTCAGGAGGAAGCACTGCCCGGTCCTGCACCCTCCTCACCGTCACTGCCCCCGGGGCAGCCCTGTGTCAGTCCATCTCCTAGAGGGTCATCCTCATTTTCACTGACCCCCTCTTTTCACCAAACACATGACGGCTTCCTCTGGGGAAGGACTAGGCTCTCCTGGTCCCACGGCCAATGGAAGAGAGGTGACATCCCCCTGTCCTTGTTTCTAAGGAGCATTTCAAGGAGCTGTCTGCACTTCTTCCAAGACAGCTTTGTTCACAGAGCAGCGACAGGGTCCGGGGACACTAACATGACACACATGAACAGAAGATTTCGGTATAAAGTATTGGAATAAAATGTGCAAGACTTGGGAGTTTGAAAAGCAAAAGCGAAAAAAAGAAAAGTGAAGAACATGCTCCTCATTTTCAAGCAGGAAGAACAGGATTAAAATAATAATAATCCAGGCCTGGAGACGCAACATTGAAGACATTGATGAGCAAATACCTCCTAGCCCACTCCCCACCCACCCAATGCTGCAAGAAGCCTAGGAGCTGGCAGACAGACAAGGAGAACAGCCCACAGAGACTGGCTGAATGACCATCTCTGGGGGAGCCATTATTCTGCCTACTACAACGCGTTCCATCATACCACATTCATGCTACAAATGTTCTCTCAGGTTTTTAAATGCGGTGAGGACAACCTTGGGAAGTTCAAAAATCCAGCGGCCAACGGCTCAGCGTCAGCTCCCAGCGATCCATGTGTCAGGGGTAGAACTGCGCTCTGGCGAATATTCAGTGGCTGACTTTCCTGAACTTTCTTGCCAGGGGCCCTGGCTCCCTGCCAACACATCCTGCACACCTTTGCAGGTATGATCATTCCTGGTCCAGCATGCCACTCCTCTGGTCGGCCCTTGAGCTCTTCCCTGGCCGTGCCCCACCCCCGCCCCCCCATCTCATTCCAGAGGCTGCCTGTGGCCGCCCCGGTTCCAGTAAGCCTCCTAGTACCAATTCTGTTGGTGTCAGGTGGACAAGACACACCCTCTAATCCATTCGAGTAAGAGACTGTTCCCCAAGGACTTAGACGATCCACCTTATAAATTCTGTTCCCCCCTTACAGTGAGAGGTTTCAAATGACACATTTTAGAGGAACAGCTATGCACAAGGAAGTACAGAAGGCCCAGCAGGGCAGCAGGTACCAGTGGACACACTTCACACACGATAAGAGTGAATCTTCCCCAATCCAGGTATCCTTCTCTGAAGCACACCTGGCTCACACGGCAGAGGTAGGGCGTGTGAAATCCTTGGCACACAAAGGATGTGTCACCAGGACCAGATATTCCCGTCAGCAAGACGTGCCTCAATTTACGGGAGAGTAACTGGCCCTTGTCCCTGATGTGACTCCCGAAGCAGCAGGGTTCTGCCTTCGGCAGGCCCATCTATGAATCCTGGGTGATAGACGGGTTTAATATTTCTTCACCAGATTGCTTCACGGATGTCATCATCTTAGCCCAAGTCCCCGTGGCAGAAGGACAGGGAGGTTCTGTGTGTACTGCGCAAGGGGCATCAACAAGTGTTGGGTTTGTTGTGAGGTGGTCTTCAGTCGGTTCTGACTCCTAGTGATCCCGTGGCCCAACAGAACGGACCACCCCCCGGTCCTGCACCATCATCACGATGTGCTGTCTGAGCCCACTGTTACAGCCACCGTGTCAATCCACCTCGCAGAGGTCTTCCTCTTTTTTCACGACCCCATTCCTTTAGACATGTGCCCTGCAAACTGCAGTAGAGGCACAAGACGAAGCTTCAGGGATTCCAGCAGCCCAGCTGAGGTTAAACCAATTCTGCAGATGTGGATTCAACAGGGCAGCTGTGTTTGGGGGGCTGGTGTCATCTTTTATAGCCACAGTGTATCGATAAAGAAACGCGGCAGGAAAAGAGAAAAACCTTTAATGTGCGCACATTTTGAAACTGAGAAGCAAGCGCAGGGCACTGAAAGAGACGGGAGTGTCAGGCGGGTGGTTTTACAGGAATCTGCTAAGTGGTTGAACCCGCAACCCAAACCAAACTCACTGCCATCGAGTCCGTTCTAACGGTAGGGTAGAACGGCCCACGTGGTTCCGAGATGGTGACTCTTTCTGAGGGTAGAAAGCCTCGTCTTCCTCCCGCAGAGCGGCTGGTGGTTTTAAACTGCTGACCTCGAGGTTAGTAGCCCAATGTGTAACCACTTCGCCACCCTGGCTCCTTCCTCTAAATTGCCAAATTGGCACTGACAAATCTATCTGCAATCTCATTTTGTTCCTCAGTGAAAGTGGGATTGTCAGGAAACCTCCTTCAAGTTCTCACTGAACTCTGATCTATGGCTTTGGCATGACCAAGTCTGGCCTTGCTCCAAAGCTGGTCTTTAAAAGGAACCCTCTGTTCTTGAACCCCAAAGCCATGGTTACGTGCTGGGCTGCTAGCTGAGAAATCGGCTGTTTGAATCTACCAGCTGCTCCAAGGGAGAAAAAGACAGGACTGCCTGCTTCCGGAGACGTTACAGCCTCAGAAAGCCCGGAGGGGCAGTTCCAGCGTCTCCTATATGGTCAATGTGTGGGAACGGACTTGACAGCATACAGCATCCTTGATCCCCCCACGCGGAGTTCTACCAGGACTTCAGAGGCAGCCACGCCAGCTCCAGACTCCCAGATGAAAAAGCTGCTTTGCAAATTTCAGGTCACAATTGGGATTGGGAAGGTTCTATCAGAGATTTTGGTCGGGGCGTTCAGGAGAGGGTGGTCAGGGAAAGGCCGGGCCTGGCAGCCGCAGAGGGTGTAGGTGAGGGACGACTGGACGGGTACGGACACGAGGCGCCCAGAAGCAGCTGCTTTAGGGAGAGCTGCAGCACGTGTCTGAGCTGTGGGTTGCCCCTAGCCCAGGGTCAGCACACCAACCCTAGGCTCAGTGGTCAACTGGTGGTAATATGCCTTCTTTGGGGACAGGAGCCAGGTGTGTCCACCATCCAAACCAAAGCCAGGGGCAGCATCGAGCAACACAAAATCACACCCCGTGGCCCATCGCCACTCCCTGGCAACAGGGCCACTTTGAACATGCCATCGAAGCGTGCCATCTCTCAGAGTTCACATCTCTAAAGTAGGGATAGTGATAAGTTTCTATCTAGCTCTTAATGAGTTTGTGGAAAACCAAACCAAACCTAAAAACCACTTAGCCGACACACAGCACGCACCATATGAGCATGTGCCTTTATCTAAGAAAGACCTTCTCTACCTGGTGGCCATCTGGATGGCTCCTCTCAAGCCACTGGTCCACCTGGTAGCTAGCAGTGCCCTGGACAGAAGATCTGAGGCCCAAGGTCAGAGAAGCTCAAGCGCTTCCCATTCGGGACGGGAAAGCAGCTTCCCCCAAGGCTTGCTCACAAGAGCAGATCCGTGCGTTCTGTCTGTGAACAGCAAGGACAGCAGTTCGAAACTACCAGCTGTTCCAGATGCCAAAGCTTGCTACTCCCATCCAGAGTCACAGTCTCAGAAAGCCCCTGGGGCAGTTCCAGCCTGTCCTATAGGGTTTCTATGAGTCAGAATCAACTCAATGGCAGTGCGTTTTGTTTCTTCAATACCAGATGCCAGAGTGCAGGGCGCCCGCTATACCTTTCAATCACTTCTCACACAGAGAGGGGCTGCTTGCAGACTTGGGTTCTGAGAACCAGTACTTGTAACGGGGCACAGGGGCTGTAGCAGTGGGCCCTGGGGGCCCCAAGTTGCATAGGGGCCATAGCAGTTGGTCCTGGGAGCCCCAAACTTCACAGGGACCATAGC